AAGCTATGGGTGACCATAGAGCAAGCTGGGCTTTCACTACCGCTGACGTCATTGCCATGGATATGCCCAGACAAACGACCACGAGGATGGAATCGATCAGTCGTAATAGGAACGACAATAAATATATGGGACGCATTGATTAAAAAGTGTGATATATCATCTTATGTGGGCCCATTGACACCCATACTCGGGAACCCAGATTTCCCACAGGGATTAGGGGAGAAAGGATTCTTGAGATGGAAGATCCCGAGCTATACCCCAATAACACAGGCGATCAATGCACTGGGTGTACTCCCTTTAATAGATCTACTACCACCAGGAATGGTGAGCCAGGGTAGATGGCTGGACTATTTCCAACTTAAACACTTTTATAACTCTCTGTGTTCCCAGGGATCAGTAGAGAGGGAACTAACTCCAATTGAAAAAATTATCTTATATAAATCAGAGGGGAAACACAAGGTATCAAGAATCTATAATATACTTTTGGAATCAATGTTCCCGTCCCTCCCTTACTATACCAAAGAATGGGAACGAGAAATAGGACAGATTTTTGCAGAGGAGGATTGGTACAAAGCCTTTTACTTTACTTTTAAATCGAGTATCTCGGCCGGAACACAGGAGAGGAACTTTAAAATAATAACCAGGTGGTATAGATGCCCGGTGACAGTACATAAAATAAACCCCCAAGTATCTAAGATGTGTTGGAGATGCGGGACAGATGAGGGCACAATGTTGCATATATGGTGGACTTGCCAGGGAATTATGCCCTACTGGAGAACTATTTTTGAACTAGTGGGTAGAGTTGTGGGACCAAAACTACCCGAAACCCCAGAAGTGGCATTACTATCAATGCTTCCGGGCCCGGTAAAAAGTATCAAGAGGGGACTGGCATGCCCCTTATTGGAAGCAGCAAGGGCGATAATCCCAAGACATTGGAGACAACCAAATACTCCTGAGGTTCGGGACTGGGTATTGGAGGTAAATCATGTTATGCGAATGGAAGAACTGACAGCTCGGGTATACGATAGATATGCAATATTTGTAGAGAAATGGAGACCATGGATGGCCTTTCTCGGCTCAACAGAGATTCAAAGATACCTATAAGGAACTAGTGTACTGTTTGCTTCTTCCTCCCCTCCTTTTTTTTTTTTTTTTGTTTTTACTATGTGTTTGTCTGGACCGCTTCCGCGTAGCTACTACGGAAGGGGCACTGAAGGGGGGGTGGGGGAGGGAGGGGCTGAGAGAATGGATGTTGTAGGGAGGATGATAGGCTGTAATGTAGGAGCGAGAGCATAGGCACAAGACTGTGAATGGTAGTGGGAGTGTATAGCCTTTTTTTTTTTGTTTTTTTGTTGTTGTTTGTTTGTAATTTCCTGTTATGTTTTTTGTTATAACAGATATAATAGTATCTATGAAGGTGGCTAAGCTTAACATAGAAGTGATTAAAAATACTACTTAAACAAGCAACAATGGATAAGAGATAGTAGTTGGATATTGATGTCATCGGTACTATTCTTTTACGTATTTAATTGTATAAAGAAATTGTATATAATATGAAATAAATAAAAATATATCCTTGAAAAAAAAAAAAAATATATTAACAAAGGTATTTTTGCTTTTTAACTTCATCATAACGAATGGAGCGGAACGAAAATACGGAATTTCGTATTTCCTGCCTGTATTGTAATGCAACCCTCAGCAGCAGCGGATCCGAATTTCGTATTTTGGATTAAAAAAAAAATCTTGTCATGTTGTTCAACCTCATTTACAGGGGTAATATTAGTTCCCGTTTCGTTAACGGAATTTCGTATTTCGCATATAATTCGGAAACTGCAATTCGGATTTCGGATGCTTCCGAATTTACGAATTTCAGGAAATCTGTACGAATTTCAGGAAATTCGTACGAATTTCGATTCATAACGAAACGAATCGCACGTCTACTTCACAGACCACGTGGCCTAGAGCTACCTCAAGCTTTAAAGGGATACTGTCATTTTTAGTCAATTGTGATTCCTTTTTTGTAATGCTTTAAACTATTTCATATGTTTTCTATAACTATATAGTTTGTTTTACAAATAAGCATTCAGTACATGACAAAGGATACACGGAGCACAATGAGCTAGCTAAGCTGTATGTAAATTTCAGCTGTAACTGTTGAGGTCTATAAACAGACTTTTTTCAGGGTATGGATAGAGTAAAATAAGTAAAAAGATGCCTAAAGCTTCACTTGTGGGCTAAACAAATATAACATATTAATGTATAATACTTTATATTCATAGCTTTCTGTGTTTTTTCCATTTCAGTGACCAGTTCTGACTATGACACGGCAGAGGCGGCCACCGAAACCTCCTCCTACATCAGCGCCCAAGGGTATATGTCCAGCAGGTAAATGGTATAGCAAGGAACATTGTACTGACATCCACTTACACACACACAGCAACTAATTGTGAATGAGATTTTAGAGACTTTTATTGTGAACCATTTTTTGCATCTTTAAACCTAAAATTGCTACAAAGAAAAGATTAATTTGACATTCATTTATTCACTAATTAGACAAACTGAAGCAGTTGCCCGTGGCAACCAATCAGCTTCTCTCTTTCATTTTCAATTCTTAACTGACCAAACTGAAGAGAGAGGCTGATTGGTTGCCGTGCACATCTGCTCCAGATTCTGTCTGCTACGGTTTTGCTAAATTCCCGCCCCATTGCTGTTAATAGTTAAGGTGCTTGAATGTATTTTTGAGATTTAAGTCTTGAGTTTAGTGTAACTTTAACCCTTGCAGTGTGGGGGGTAGATCCACCGCAAGGGTTAATTTGAAGAAATCATGGAGGTCTTCTTTAAATCCGTATAAAACGTTGAGAGAGGTAAGCCACTGTGATGTCAAATCATATTTCATCTGTTATACAGCACCCCCCACCCTATGTCTTATTAAAGGAGAACTATGGGGGTAAGTGTTTTTCCCCATAGTTCTCCTTAGGATCACGGGAGGGCATATGCTAGCGTCCTCCTGTGACCCAAAGCTCAGTATATAGAGAGCTACAGCTTGCGATATACTGAGACGCCGCAGCCGGGACGGATCCCGATAGTACTGTCGAGATCCACCCAGCTGCGTGAGTGACAGCTGGCTCTGCCTATCTATAGGCAGAGCCAGCTGTACCTGCCCCGTCCGTTCCGCCAGTCAGCGCTGGAGGATCGGAGCGGGGAATCCCTGCAGGGAGCCTTGAGTGACAGTCACGGCTCTCTGCAGGGACAGGATCGAGAAGTGAGCGAGCGACGGTATGTGTTCGCTCACTTCCCGATCTTTTGAGCTGACGTGTGACCGTTTCATTGTCACAGGTCGGCTCGAACTATGAGGAGGAGTGAAAATCACTCGCCTCATAGTTCTCCTTTAAGGATATAATGTTTGTATATAAAATGTATAAAGCAGATTAGAAACAGAAAGAAAAGATGTTCCGAAGTATTTCTCTCCAGGTGTTATAGATATCACCTCATAAATAGCTCATAAAGATAAGAAATCCCATTGACATCAATCTGTGTGACCTTTATGGGGAGAGGCACCTGGGTGACATCCGGCATCTCTCTATGTGATCAGTGATTATGTATCTTCCACGTGTTACACAGAACCAGAGCAGCAACTAAATTGGCCGGGATTAATTACATCCCCTGCGCGCTCCGCTCCCCGAAATTGTTTTCTAATGACTATGAAATTGTGATGGAAACCAAATTAGATTTGTTTATGACGTTTCAGGCTCGGGAACTTATTTGTGGCTCATGAAAGTTGAAATTACTTTTTGTTTTGAGGTTATTTAGAAAAGCGATTGAGTGTCTCTGCTCGAAGTAATCTAAATTCATAAATATGGATGTATACAGTATATCTATCTATCTGTCTACCTGTCTGTCTGTCTGTCTGTCTGTCTGTCTATCTATCTATCTATCTATCTGTCTATCTATCTATCTATCTATCTATCTATCTATCTATCTATCTATCTATCCATCCATCCATCTATCTATCTCTCTCTCTCTCTCTGTCTGTCTGTCTGTCTGTCTGTCCGTCTATCTCTCTCTCTCTCTCTCTATTTCTCTCTCTGTCTGTCTGTCTATCTATCTATCTATCTGTCTACCTGTCTGTCTGTCTGTCCGTCTATCTCTCTCTCTCTCTCTCTATCTCTCTATCTCTCTATTTCTCTCTCTGTCTGTCTGTCCGTCTATCTCTCTCTCTCTCTCTCTATCTCTCTATCTCTCTATTTCTCTCTCTGTCTGTCTGTCTGTCCGTCCGTCTATCTCTCTCTCTCTCTCTATCTATCTATTTCTCTCTCTCTCTCTCTTAGCCAGTGTAGGGATTGGCAGAGGGGGGTTGCAGACACTGAGCGGTTGGTTAGGTGGATGAGTCTAGCAGCTGCATTCATGATAGACTGAAGGTAGGAGGAGACTATGTAGAGGTCAGCCAATGAGGAGGGAGTTGCCACAGTCAAAATGGGAGATAACAAGGGAGTGTATGAGTAGTTTTGCGGTGTCATTGGTGAGGAAGGGGCATATTTGGGAGAGGTTACAAAGGTGAAGGCGGCAGGATTTGGATGGGGACTGGATGTGGGGCAGAAAGGTGAGGTCCGAGTCAAGGATGACCCCTCGCACCTTGGCATGGGGGGAGGGGGGGATGGTTGTGTTTTCAATCCTAATGGAAAAGTTGGGGGAAGGTGCACGGGCGGGAGGAAATATGAGATCAGTTTTTGATCTATCTATCTATCTAGTACCGAGATGGACTAAAATCTCATGTTAAGTTTACTGATTAGTATTGAGATTGTAGTCCATCCCGGGCAGTGGCGTAACAATCACCATAGCGACCCAGGTGGTCGCTATGGGGCCCGGGGCACAGTGGGGCCCGGCCAGATGCCGTGCGGGCCGCCTGGGTCGCTATGGGATCTTCTGCTGCTGGCTTTCACTGGCGTCTGAAGACGAACACGCCGCTGTTCAGATCATCTGTGCAGCGGCGCTTTCGTCTCCACAGTCAATGAGAGCCAGCTGCAGTGGGGGAGCAGGCTGGACCCGGTGTTCTATCAACGTTGCGAGCCTCTGACGTCACCGGCAGTGGAGGAGGAGGCGGGCCCGTGCTCGGCAGCAGGGGAGGAGGCGGCCTCGGGGACGAAGAAGGAGGCAGGCCCGGCGACGGAGGAGGTAAGGAGTGCGACCAGCCCATCTGAGGGAGAGTCTATGGTGGGCTCTGCAGGGTCACCCTCAGGTGGTATCTCGAGTGGGCTCTGCAAGGGGTATACGTAGAAATCACGGGGCCCCATACAAAATTTTGCTATGGGGCCCTGTGATTTCTAGTTACGCCCCTGATCCCGGGAGTGAGCTTGGAGCGGTGACTACTTTACAACACACACAGGGACCATGGGGAACAGACGTAGCCCCCCTCTATGAAGGAAGGACAGTGTCAGCACCAATTCAGAGGTGATTGGAGGATCTACAGATGAGTGATACACAAATAAGATACATTGTTGTTAATAGTTAAGGGACTTGAATGTATTTTTAGGATTGAACTCCGGAGTTTAGTGTCACGCTAAAAAAATGTACTTCGCTTAGTGAATAAAGTAACATTTATTCTACAGCCTGCGGAATGAAAATCCTCTGTATCTGGACTTGGACGCACTCCTGAGTGTATCTCTCTAATCTCTCCGGGTGATGTTTTTTCACAGGGAACAGGAAAGTATAGAATCATCCACGGAACAGGAACAGCCCCCACAAATACTGGAGGAACTCCGGGATAGTCTGGTGGCACCGGGAACCCCGATTGCCAAATTCCAGATTAAAGTGAAAGGTAACCAGTCAAAGTTTTTTGGGGGGATTTATTAGGGCCCTTTCACACCAGTTGGGCCATTGAAGTGGATGGCACCATAGACATGCTCACTTTTTAGTGGGGCAGGAGGGGGCGTGGCGGGCCATAGAAGTGAATGGCACCGTAGCCACGCCCTCCGGCCGCAATGCGATCGCCCGCACGGGATCGCTAGGCACATTGTGCCTGCGTTCCGGTGCGATCAAAATGCTGCAAGCACTTTTTTGATCGCACCGGACCGCAGGCACAATGTGCCTAGCGATCCCGTGCGGGTGATCGCGTTGCGGCCGGAGGGCGTGGCTACGGTGCCATTCACTTCAATGGCCCGCCACGACCCCCCTCCTGCCCCACTAAAAAGTGAGCCGGCCGCAATGCGAGGCAGTGCGTTCTGGCCAGAATCGGGCCCGGAATGCACTGCAACAGGTGTGAACGGGCCCCTTAAAGCTAAACTCCAGGCTAACCACTAAATACAAAGATGTAATGCATATATGAGAGCTCTTTTACCTTGCAAATGATTTGTATTTCTGTCCAGTCAGTCCTGAGAATTACACAACTCTGACACACAGCACAGCCCTGTCTGGCAGGGGAGGAGACTTGATTTTTCTCAAGTAACATTTACAGGTCTCTCCTCTCCCCCAGCCAATGCCTAGTTATTAAAGGGAGATGTGGCATGCGTAATGATGAGCAATGGCGTCACAAGGGGGGTGCGGCCCGCACCCGGGTGACACCATTGGAGGAGTGACACCAAAATGACTCACAGTCATTTTGGTGTCACCCCCCTCTGAAAAGTCGGGCGCTCGGTCATGGACCGAACGCCCGACAGGAGAGAGGAGGGGACCCGGCGTCATACCTTATCCCGCCGGGTGGCTGTCCCCTCCTCTCTCGGTGATGGACGTCGGCAGGTATCAGAATACTGTGGGGCGAGTGGCCGGGCCTTGCAACTGACAGCTGGGCAGAGCCAGCCGTGATCTCACAGCTGGGAGGAGCCAGGCGTGATCTCACCGCTGGCTCCGGCCAGTTGCAATGACAGTTCAGCGTCCCCAGGTTACCAGGTAACCAGGGGACCCAGGTTACCGGGTAACTAGGTGACGCTGAACTGTCATTACAATGACAACTCGGCGGAGCCGGCCGCCTCCGTCGAGCTGTCATTAGTTCAATGAGAGCTCAGCGGATCCGGCCTTGATATCACCACCGGCTCCGCCGAGCTATCATTGTAATGACAGCAGGTCCCGGCCAATAGCAAACAGTAGGGCGGAGCTAGCTGTCACTGCTAGCTCCGCCCAATCGTTTTCGACTCTTTTTCTCACTGTTTTTCTATTCTGCTCGGTACCACGGAGGTACCAAGCAGAATAGCCGAGCCGAAAGCCGCTATTTGGCTATTCACTCACTGCCGTTCGGCTCTTATGAGAATAGGCCAAACGGCAGCGAGCAGCCTGCCGGAGGTTCGGCTCAGCCGATCCAAATGTTGGATCGGCTGAGTCAAACTCCTTCTGCACTACGGGTCGGCCGAACATGCTGAGCATGTTCGGCCGACCCGAAGCAAGCCGATGTACAGCTGATTTCAGAAATTAGCTGTACAAGCCTGAAGTGAATAGCCGAACAGGGTTCGGCTCACTTCACTTCGGGTCGTTTATTCACGCGGGTGCCTTAGGCAGCTTTGTGAATAACCCTCTTAAAGGAGAACTATGAGGTGAGTGCTTTTCACTCACCTCATAGTTCTAGCCGACCTGTGACAATGAGACTGTCACAGGTCGGCTCAGTAGATCGGGAGGTGAGCGAACACATACCGGGTTCGCTCACCTCTCGATCCTGTCACGGCTCTCTGCCGTGACAGGGGGAGGGGCTGGATTCCCCTCTCCCCGCTCCGATCTGCCAGCGCTGACTGGCGGAACGGACGGGGGAGGGGGCGGGTACAGCTGGCTCTGCCTCTAGATAGGCAGAGCCAGCTGTCACTCACGCAGCTGGGCGGATCCCGTCATCTACGTCGGGATCCGCTCCGACTGCGGCATCTCATTAGACCGCGAGCTGTAGCTTCCTATATACTGAGCCTAGGGTAACGGGTGGATGCTAGTTTGTGTCTTCCCATTACCCTAAGGAGAACTATGGGGAAAAACACTGACCCCATAGTTCTCCTTTAAAATGATAGTTTGGCATTTATCCTTCTTACATTCAGGAAGTTGCACAGTTTGTATTTAAAGAAGGATTGAATTAATGTATTAAAGTAACAAAGCCATATTAATTTGTATCTTTTATATCTGTCTGGAGTTCACCTTTAAATCATTTCTCTTATATCTGATACAAGTTTCCCATTTCCAGTGTTTTATGAAAACCTCCTTTTTTTATTGAAGAGCATAAAATCTGAAAGTAACATAGAAATTATTTCTTCTTCACTCCTCGTTGTGAAATGTTATAAGTCCTGTGTGTCTGTATTTCAGGAATCCCGCGGCCCCGTGTCCACTGGTTTAAGGATGGGCAGCCCATCCACGCCTCCGACCGGCTACTAATGGCGGATAAGAAGAAGACACGCTCACTGGAAATCCTCAATGTGACCAAAGAAGATGCCGGGGAATATTCTACGTACATCAGCAATTCTTCTGGCTCTGCGTACTCGTCTGCCAGGCTGACGGTTAAAGGTATGCGCCTCACAACCGAGGATCTCACCAGTCATGGCCGCGTTATCCGAGCCACTCAATGCTTTCCGAACCTCTTCCTGCAATCACAGCTGAAATCATTAGCATTTCTGTTTACTTTACAATATTGATGGTTAACATTGGTTCGCCCCGGTAACCATTGTAACTAGGGATGCATCGATACCGATACTAGTATCGGTATTGGTGCCAATACTGAGAATTTTGACAAGAACTCGTACTCGCCCAAATGCTCCGATACTTACCCCCCGATACCTTGGCCGTCTCGATGCTGATTGGCTGGAGAAGCCTGCTTCCCAGCCAGTCAGCATGGAGCCAGTTTCCCGGACAATTAAGAAGCCGGGCGGCTAGTAATGACACCCTGCTCGTCTTCCTGATTGGTCAGGAAGCCAGCTCTATGCTAGCAGAAGTACCGGTATCGGTACATGGTATGGGCGAGTACTGAAATATAAATATTGGTACTCGTACTCCATACCAAAAGACCGGTATCCTCGGCACTGCTCCTTTGTAGTGTACTTCCTATGCTGACAGCTCTCCCGCTGCCAGTCCTTGATTTAGGCAGATTTGATATTAAGATCACTGGCACTGATTGACTGCCAGCTGCTGCAGAGATAGTTAGCCAGGGGCCCCATTAAAATTTTGCTATGGGGCCCCATGATTTGTAGTTCTGCCCTTGTTGCTGTTTCTAAAATTAGAAGGAAAATCTTCTCTCATTTCTCGCTTTCCCTCGCGCCGATCTTTGTGTCCGCCGAGAGCAATAATCCACATATACATAGAGGATTGTCCTACGGAGGACAGAATGTGACTTGGTTGTGTCACCGGTGCTGACTGTTCCTGCCATGTATTATTCAGTGATGTTGAACGCTGAGTTCCTCTCATTCTCTGCATAAAGAATTAGGAAAGGGCAGCACATGAAAGACCTTTCTGTTCCCAGCGGAGAGTGGCCGGGATAAAACGCCGATCTGTTGTACTCTATCTGCTCACTTTTCTAGAATCTGACCCAATAAATTCCGGTGTATTGGCTACGTGACTAAATTCCGGTGTATTGGCTACGTGACTCAGCATTTCCTAATCTTTTTTTTTATTTTAGGACCCGGGGAACTTCAGAAGGAGAAATCTTCGGAAGACGCCGGAGGTCAGCCATCTTGGTTCCTATTGACATTCCCAGTGTATACTGAGGCAGCTGGTTTTTTTTCAGCTGACTTAATAGCTTAGCTACTTAAAGGCATAGTCCATCTTTTCCCCAAAATTAATAATTGCACCAACATTGATCGAAAAGAAAGTGTATATATAATTTTTTTTTGCATTGGAGTCTGCAAAGCATTACAACTGTGATCAGTGGTTTGTGGGTGCAATGCCCAAGCTTCTGCAGACTCTTTTCCCGTCCTCAGGTCCATTTTGAGGTACGGACCTTCAATTACATGGCTGGAGGACGTTATCAATAGGGATGATCTCAGGTTCAGACCGAACACAGTTCGAATCTGAGCTTATCCAAACCCGAAAGCTAAATTGGCCTCTCGCTCTAGTCAGATGTGGGTCAGGGTATTTTCCCCCTAAGCTGACCATAAACAAAGGGGTGGGATGATGTATTTTAACTAATATAGCCATGTAGACATATTTAATGCATCCCTCCACCCTGCCCCTTTGCTTACGTCAAGCTGATTGCAGAATCATGGAAGGAGCCCAGGTTCGGACTGGATTGGCTCCATACCTGAGCTCATCCCTTGTTATCAAGTGACGGAGCATCACCCCACTTGTTCACCTTTGGCATCTACAGGTCCCTCTGCCCTGATGGCAGATTAGACTTGTAATCTTTTCATTCATAGATCCTGTAAATGGATTTGTGAATGAATGATGCGTCAAATGTATATAGGAGCCTGCGGAAAGAAGAGGGGGCTATCAGTCGGTGCTCCAATGCATGGATAACTGTACCACTGAGAATGTATCAGAATACTCCTACTCACTTACACATATGGTTATGCGCACACGTATCTCCCCAATCCAGCAGATAATGATGCTGCTTAGAAGGTATACTGCACTTAATCCAAACCACTTTGGAAGTGACGTCATTGAATGTGACGTTGTTACCACCAACGCATTTCGATAGGTCTGCCTATCTTTCTCAAGGAATGATGTGGGTATGCGGAGGGTTCCGTACAGCATTTCTTGTGAAAGATAGGCAGACCTATCAAACCGGGTCAGAGGTCACGCTGTGAGTTTTGGCTTTAGATATACTTTCGGCCTGCAAAATATCTGCATTCAGTGTGTGTAGGTAGGTCCACAGTAAAGCAGCAACCTTGTTCATGTTGAGTTACTATACTACTTTGCCGTGAATTAATATCAGTATTAATCATAAACGTTATTATTATAGTTTAAGCAATGAGAATTTTTTTTCCCCAGTATGTGTGCAAAATAAATGTGTGATTGGTTAGTGAATGTGATATTCACCCAGGTGTAAACAGAGCAGTTAGTAGAGTAAGCACCATTACTTGGTGAAGAACATCTGTTGGTAAATGTGACCCAATCAGCTAATGTACTCAGGGCCGGATTTCCCACAAGGCCAACCGAGGCCCGGCCTTGGGGCAGCAGGGAGTAGAGGGGCAGCAGGGGTGTGGAATTCCTATCTCACGACACCCAGGACATGCTTGTATGCAGCCTGCAGGTCTGCCAATCTCCATGGTGGGGTTGGCGGGTAGGTGGGCGCATTAAGGAACCTGGCCTTGGGGCAGCATAGAGAGTAAATCCAACCCTGAATGTACTTCATAAATAGAGTCACTGTTTTCCCCGGTAAATGTGCAGTGAATATTTTTTTACCCTTTTTGTTATAGCCTACTTTTATTTGTCTTCTTTTCCATGTCACTGTCTGGCCGACTTGCACATTTTAAATGATTGGTCTTTGCAGGTTTGGAAAAGCCGATTCCCCCCATGTTCCTGGAAAGGTTCACCAACAAAAAAGTGAAGAAGGGAGCCAGTATCACGTTGTCTGTGAAGGTTGAAGGTAAAACATTGAGAGGATGAACTAACTGCAATATTATGGAAATGCCTAAATGTACCCACGGGTATGGAGGTCACCTGATCCAGCCTGGTTTGGGTGAACTGGGTGATGGCCCCAGCAGCAAGCAAGTGTTGGGAGAATGAGTGATGGCGCAATAACACCTCGCCTGACTGGTACCTTTCCCCACTGACAAACCAGTGTCTGCCTTCCCTGGTCTGTGGACAGCTTGACCTAAGGATTGTAGGGCTGTGCCTACATGGAAGGCCTCCTTCTCAGCTTTGACACCCAGTGACAAGTGAATGCTTCCTATATCTGTAGGCCTTGCCTGGTGGCTATGTCTGCTCAGGGAAGGTAACGATTGGCTGAATGAGTTTTCCAACCTAATTCTGTTGTGTGCCCCAATATAGTGTCCACCCTCTCTGGTCCGCGGGCAGCTTGCTCTAAGGATCATAGGACTGTGCCTACATGGAAGGCCTCCTCCTCAGCTCTGACACCCAGAGATCAGTGAATACTTGTATGTCTATAAGCCTTGCCTGATGGCTGAGCCTGCTTGGGAAGAGCACCGACTGGCTGAATTAGTTTTCTGTTCTTACTCTGTTGTTTGTCTAATAGAGTGTCCACCCTATCTGGTCCGTGGGCAGCTTGCTCTAAGGATCATAGGACTGTGCCTACATGGAAGGCCTCCTCCTCAGCTCTGACGCCCAGTGATCAGTGAATACTTGTATGCCTGTAGGCCTTGTCTGATGGCTGAGCCTGCTCGAGAAGAGTACCGACTGGCTGAATGAGTTTTCTGCCCTTCCCTGTGCCTACATGGAAGGCCTCCTCAGCTCTGACACTCAGGGATCAGGGAATACTTGTATGTCTATAAGCCATGCCTGATGGCTGAACCTGCTCGGGGAAAGAGTCCATTGCCTGAATATGTTTTCCTACCTAGTTCTATTGTTTGTCCCAAAACAGGCCAAGGGCAACTTAAAGTTGAACTCCAGCCATAAAATATATACTGCACCCCAGGGCAGGCATTCTGGTAGTGAAGTCCAGTCATGGTTGCTCCTCTCGTGCCGGGCAATCAGTCAGAGAGATAATTTAGGGCAGAAAAGAGTGATCATCTCAGAGTTCAGCTTTAAAGTGGACCTATTGGTATCTTTACAAATCTGCATGAATTAATTCCTGAGAAATGTTTTACATACAAAAAGTGGCCAATGTTTTCACACTTGCATGTCTTTCTACCATTGTACTAAGTACTGTTTTGTTTGGCCATGTCAGGAATCCCCATCCCGACCATCACCTGGTTGAGGGAAGAGTCTCCAGAAGATGTTCTGTGGATCAAGCTGGACACCCCAGGCTACAAGGTGGCCAGCTCCAACAGGCACCACAGCCTCATCCTGCTGGACGTTGGCACCGAGCTCTCCGGAACGTACACTTGCATCGCCACAAATAAAGTCGGCCAGTCCATCTGCACTGCGTCTGTTGAAGTCTTAGATGGTAATTAATTCACATCACAGTGGGAATTATGTCCAACGGGGACACAAGCAAAAACACATTTTTAGTAGCAATGTGAAAGGTTAGAACTTTTGACTATGGACTCTGGCTTTATTTCTGTCTGTGTCAATCGCACAGCCAATTTCCTGCACAGCTGTCACAGGGACAGGAAGAGAGAGAAAATCTGCTGAATGGGGTCATGGACAAATAGAGATCTAGAACAGCCTTTCTCAATCAGGGTTCCATGGATCTGTAAGGGGAATCTTCCCACTGAGCAGCAAAGGCCACCAATATAGGGTGGCCCATCTCCCAGTGACCACCAATATAAGGGGGCTCTTCTCCTAATGACCACCAATAGAAGGGGATCCTTCTCCCGATAAGGAAATCTTTTCCCAATGACCACCAATATAAGTGAGCCCTTCTCCCAAAAACCACCAATATAAGGGGCCCTTCTCCTCTGACCATTAAGGAACGGGGGCACTTCACTGGCAAACACTATAAGAGGGCATGTTCAAGTGAACCAAACCCAGGGATGTCCATTTCCTAACAACCAATGAGGCTGTTGAACTCACCAAGCCTCTTTGTTTTCTAGGACGCTAACAGGTGGGCACACCATAACAACCAATGACCCTGTGGGGCTGCCAACTTCTTAGCAACCAGTGACGCCTTGTGGCTCAGTCACTAGTAAGTAAACCAATGACATCGTCATTGGTTGGTAGACAAAGAGGGAGGTTTGGCGGATGTGCAAACTGGCCAAATTATTCAACTTGGCTCTGCGTTGAACTCATGGTTGACCCAAACCCAAAGTTCATCTCTAGTCTGGATGCTTACAGTTGCAGTTTTCAGTAGGCTTAGTATTTTAAATTTGTATTAAACCAAATTGTAGAAGGCTGCTCTCCAGTCCAGAGGTACCAGGATGGGGGTGTTGGAACTTTAGATGAACTCATAGAAGAAAGATAAGTAGAACAGCAAAAACATTGATAGAGTATCAGATATGTTGTAATTCCACTTTACTTATAGTGGAAAAATGCTAACACGTCTCAGTTATTCTTACACACACCCCCTTCTTCGGGGCTAGGATAAGTCACAAAACATGGTAAAATACAATAAGAATAGGATCTAAAATATCCAATAATAGATGAAAATGTAAAATATATTTTTAATAACCTTTATAATATGCTTTTCTTGAATTTGCATCTTTGGTTGAACTCAATGGAGTTGCTTCTTTTTTCCCAACCTGGCTAACTATGTAACAATGTAACTACCGTTGTCCCAAAATGTTTTTGCATTTTCTTACAATCAATAAAGTAATCAATATCGGACACTGTTCTTGGCACTTCTGTGTCATATGTACATACTCTAGAAATCTGCGAGGAATTTTTACTTTTCCCCACTTGAGCCAAACTAAGGTTTTCAAAATGAAATCCGGAGGCACCCTACTGACCACACCCACTTGTAACCACACCCATAAAACCACACCTCTATTTGTAGACACACCCAGGAAATCATGCTCCCATTTTGAGTATGCCCTGAAACAAAGGGTCACAGACTTCTGGAAGAGGAAGCAGACATTGAAGATGTAAAGACAAAGTGCCCTGGGCTCTATAAGGAGTGAAATAACGTAGTGCGCACAACACAGAATCATGCATGCGGTCAACTTGCTCTAACAGTGGGAGCGGCTGATTATGCATGGTTAAATAAACCCCTGAACCTATTCTACTATGGGTCAAGCATTTGTAACGCACAGAGTGCAGGGATCAGGAGTGTGTAATGCAGAATATAGGGGTCATGAGAGCATGGAGCAGAGAGTAGGAATCAGGAGTATGTAACATACAGAGTACAGGGGTCAGGAGTGGGTAACACATGGAATAAAGAGACCAGGAGCAAGAAAAGCATGGACAACATGAGTAGGTAAGGCATAGAGTACAGGGGTCGTGAGTAGGTAACACATGGAACACATGGATCATGAGTAGGGGTCTATAGCAAGTAACGCATTAATCAGAACTCAGTAGTTAGTAACTAAAGGGTCAGTAGCAAGTGATCCAAAGTTCAGGGGTCAGTAGTGAGTGATGCAGGGTTCAGGGGTCAGTAGTAAGTGATGCAGAGTTCAGGGGTCAGTAGCAAGTAACGCAGAGTTCATTGATTATTAGTAAGTAATGCAGAGTCCCGGGGTCAGTAGTAAGTAATGCAGAGTCCAGGGGTCAGTAGTAAGTAATGCAGAGTTCAGGGGTCAGTAGTAAGTAATGCAGGGTTCAGGGATTAGTAGTAAGTAATGCAGAGTTCAGGGATCAGTAGTGAGTAACACAGATTTCAGGGGTCAGTAGTAAGATATGCAGAGTCCAGGGGTCAGTAGTAAGTAATGCAGAGTTTCAGTAGTAAGTGGCATAGGGGTCAGTAGTAAGTGACGCAGGGTTCAGGGGTCAGTAGTAAGTGACGCAGAGTCCTAGAAGCAGCCATCACAGCATGTACAAGACTGGCTGTATATGAATGCAGTTCACTGATGCCAGGGAAGTTTTTTTCCCCGGGGACTATCCCCAGGAAACAAGTGTTAATGGTAATCTTATCCAAAACTAAAAAACAATTGCTTGGAATTAGACTTGAAATATGAACATTTGTAAATCCTTCTTTTGTCAGCTCTTTTTGGGTGACAATAAAGTTCATAATTTCTTCTATTTCATTCCGTCTCATTTATCAGAGAAAGAGGCGCAGCTCCTGGAGAAAGCTGATAAAATCGTCATGGACGTATTGAGGAGCGCCGTACCCGGGTGAGTGAGGGAATAATACCCCGTGTAACACTTTATAACTAAACTGGAAGTATCTCTGAATTAAGAAATGTTATTAAATTAGAAATTCAATGTAACATATTGAAGCTCACCAGTCCTTAGGAGTGGTAGTTGCATTATTTCACCTGGGGATCCTGCCTGTAAAACACATCCTGTCCTGGGGTGACAACACTCACTCAGTGCCCTGTATCTATGGAGGAGAAGCATTGTTGCCCTAGGACAGAAGGCTTGTTAGGACTACAGAAGGCCTCCGCCTCTTCTCATCTCCACACCCTAGGGGGAGGCGTTCTGTAGTTGGGAAGACTGATAACATTGTTTGAGATTTACAAATCCTTTGCCAGGCAAACTGCTGTATGTATTTCAACCGTGTAATAATTTAAAAAAAAATTCCTGTATGTGCTTTAGGCAAAAAAGCTGCTTTCTGGAACATTCTGTTAATGTAAAGGAGATATATACATCACATTCATTTGATTTTTTGGAACAGGTATGATGAAGGGAAAGAGAAGGAAACCGGGTAAGTTTGTATCATATTGTGAATATAGAATTGGGGGCGGGGCAACATTCCTGCTTTTAAGTTTAAAGGGTATTTCCACTTTGGCTGTCACATTTGAGGGAACCCCTACTATCTATTTGATATAAGTTTCCATTCACACAGCATACCTAACAATAATTTGCGAGGGGCTGTGCCATGATGTCACTGCCCCCTTCTCCAATCATAGAACACTTAGCATCCACTGAGAAATATAGCCGGCGTGCTCTGAATGGCCACTGTGTTGAGCGAGCGACCGGCTGTGTTTTAACGGCACAGGGGAGGTTACTCAGCTCAGCGGCTGTTCCTATACCCGGAACACACTGTAATACGGTTCAGTAGCTGTGGCTAATACAGTGTATTGAGGATGCACTGATACCGGTTTTCGGTATTTAGTACGAGTACCGATGTATTTTTTTTCGGTACTCGCCGATACCGAATACTGATACCGGAAGCCCCATGTAATGACTAGCCACCTGGCTTCCTGATTAGCCGGGAAGTTGGGCGGCGTGTAAAGACTTGCCACCCGGCTTCCCGTGCTCCTAGGTGACGAGGGAGCATGGAGCCGGCTTTCTGGCCAATCTGCAAGCCAGGTGGCAAGTCATTAGTCGGGTGGCGGGTAATGACTTGCCGTCCGGCTTCCTGATTGGCCAGCTTACTGACCAATCCGGAAGCTAGCCGGTGAGTCATTACATGCTGCCCGGCTTCCTGATTGGCCGGAAGCTTGACCAAATACTCGGTATCGGCATCGATACAGATACTAGTATTGGTATTGGTGCATCCCTACAGTGTATAAAACAATCCCTATGATTTTTAAAGGTACAATGGATTTTAAATGACTCCTCAGGGTTGCAGAAGTTTCTTTTACTAGGGATGCACTGAAATGCATCCCCAGCTTCTCTCCTGCTCGCTAGGTGCCGGCTGCAATCTTTGGTCTGTGTCCCCTCCGATCCCCGCTGCTCTATCCCACCTGTGTCAGCAGAAGCAGCGTGAATCGGAGGGGGCACAGAGCTGATCCAGGTGCTGGCGCCCAGTGGGGAGGAGAGAAGCCGTCAAGACTGAGAGTGTCAGCGGGTAGGAGGAGAGATGCAGAAGGGGCAGAACAGTTCAGGATATTTGGCGATCCTTCCATGTATTGCTCAAACATCAGTGTGATGTAAATAACTGAGGACATCGTATTTAGTTACTGTGATCCCAATTATGGATGAACAGGAAGTGCTCTACATTTCTCTGGTTGCTAAGAGCTGAGCGGGGAGATGTGTATGGAAGAGGGGTGGGGATAGACAAAAAGTCAGCTGTCTCCGTGGGTCGGCAAACTTTCACTGACCCACGGAGTGGTGACCCCTCTTCAAGTGACGCCAAGGCCATGTGCCATACCTGGATATGCGACTGGTTCACTGGTTGGGGTCTTGTATGCCACAGGGGCTCAGTGGTGAGTTCTTCTGCCTTGCATCACTGACATCCTCAATTCAAATCCCGGCTAGGACACTATCTGCATGGATTTAGCATGTTCTCTCTGCCCTTGAGTAGGTTTACTGGGGTTCCCAACCACACTACAAAGACATGCTGGAAGGTTGATTAGCCAATGTATGTGCATGTAAGATGAGGACTTTAGATTGTAAGCTCCCTGAGGGTAGGGAGTGAATATACGGTGAATTGATGGTGCCATATAAAGACCTGTAATAAATGTATATTCCCTTTTAGGAGAATTGTGTGCTGACCTCTCATCTCTCCCTTTTGTTTCCACAGAATCGGAATCACGGTGCAGCCCCCAGCAGCAGACGGTATGTAAATAAAATGAGTAAAACGCTGTCAATATTCCGAGTAATTTCCGTCATTAGCAAAGCCGGCTTCCTCCGGGACAAACTGATCATTTTCCACCCCGCGGCGTCTTCTCGATGAGTCACGTAACACACTGGACATGTTTGTTTTCTATCATTTACATTCATTTTAGGCAACGTGGGAATACTCACCGCTAATGCTTTTTAGTATACTCAGGTTACATTGTATCACTTGTCTGTAGCCTCCTGCAGCCAGAATACAGGCGTCTCCTCACATGTTCAGTGGGTGGGTGCTTCCTGAAAGGCTTAATGTATCAACATTTTGAGGGTTTGAGTTGGTGGCTGTGAGATACTTTGTAGCTTGATCGATCTTGATTCATTGTAAAGGATGGAGCTTGCAGGAGGTTTGTTTGGTAATTCCTCTTCTGCATCACATCTAACAATGGCAACCAGTGGCATTACACATCTCCCCGCCTGCCTCTTAGCAGTGTCACTCTCCACCATTACCCTGACCCCCCCTGCTTCCTCTGATTGTACACCATCCAGCACCCTATTCCCCCCTGTCCACCCCCCGCCATCCACTTCAGGCGGCGAAAATCCAAGGATTGTAACATATCCAGAGGACATATAAATGTAAAATAATACATAATAATACTATGTGGGTTCCCTCTGAATAGTTGGTTCAGTTTTCATCATCTATAGGGAGAAACCTGGACTTTGACCACCATTGCAACCACTGAAGAGGGTCATTGGGTATCCCACAATTTATTAAAGTCTATCATGCAGACGAGTGACGAGAGACCATGGAGCCGGCTTCCCCGGCCAATCAGGAAGCCTAGCAGCGTATAATGACGCGCTGCCCGGATTCCTGATACCAGAAGTATCGGGCTAGGCATCAAAGCATTTGGGCGAGTACGAGTACTTGCCCAAATACTTGGCATCGGCACCGATATCGATACCTATACTAGTATCGGTATTGGTGCATCCCTATATCTAACCCTGAGTATTGGTCCATTCACATCGGCTTGAACCTGATTCTGGGTAATCCCTCACTGTTTTGATTCCACAGGTGACGCCAGGCCGCCGAAGCAGCAGATTTCCCTATCAGACGTTGGAACTGAAGAGTTCTTCCAGAAGCTGACGACTCAAATAACAGAAATGGTTTCTGCCAAGATCAGCCAAGGTTTGTCCAATTTACATAAGATTTGGTGCTCGTGGTGGATGCTCTTACTTTTTTTGGGCACGTCTTTGAAATACATTGATGGACAGAAACGTACAAATACGGCAGTCTCAGGACAGGCTGCTTCTGTAGTGTGACTTTGACGCCTATTTCCGTGTATGTAAGCAGTCTGCTTCTCCTGTGTTTGTAATGTGATGTGTACATGCTAAGAGATGAGAATATAAAGGATGCGGGTTCGTTTGTGTAGGACCTTATGTATGATCAGGGTAGAGCTTAATTTTTGTACATTAAAAACATTCAAAGTCCTGACCTGAATCCTATTGAGATGCTGTAGCATGACCCTAAAAAGGCGGTTCATGCTCGAAAACCTTCCAATGTGGCTGAATTACAACAATTCTGCAAAGATGAGTGGACCAAAATTCCTGTAACAGACTCATTGCAAGTTATCGCAAACGCTTGATTGCAGTTCTTGCTGCTAAGGGTGGCCCAACCAGTTATTAGGTTTAGGGGGCAAACACTTTTTCACACAGGGCCATGTGGGTTTGGATTTTGTTTCCCCTAATAATGTTATCTTTGACTAATACGTACATTTGATTGATGATCTGAAACATTAAAGTGTGACAAACGTGCAAAACAATGAAAAATCAAGAAGGGGGCCAACACTTTTTCACACAACTGTACACGTACATATCTTATCTTACAAAGACTACAAATTTTACAAACACAATAGAGATTTTGTGCTGTAGATGGAAGAATGATTCACTTTTCAGCAGAACAAAATTATTGTCAATGGTCTTTCTATACATAGTGCATCCCATGATACCGATTAACCTAATATAACAGGTTTTCTAAAGAGAGTGCAGGATAAACTGTTTACTTTCAGGCTCTCTCTCTCTCTCTCTCTCTCTCTGATCGACCTGCATCAGAGCAGGCAGGGAGGAGGAGGGAGAGTGTCACGTACCTGGAGTGAGACCGGATGGAGGAGGTGGCGTCCCTTGCTTCCTGTGTCCAACTTTCCTGGATATGGGGACAGGGAGAGAAGGACACAAGGTAGCACTGGTCCCTGGATGGTTGCAAACCTGATGCAGGCGAGGTACCGAAGCAGGAGGCAGGAGCTGAGTCAGGATCACAAGGTCGGAGTCAAACCAAGCAGGAACAGCAGTGCAGAGTCTAGTGGCCATAATGCAGTATTGCATCATGCCATCGCCCTGAGAATTGTTTATAATTAGACCCCAAAGTGTATCTATGGTAAAAATAAAAATGACATACAAGCTACATCTATAAATGTTTCATTTTTCAGTCCCGGACATAAAAAAGTATAGAGAATATAGAAGAACACTATACATTTCCTTTGGACTGATCACAAACATGTACATATCTTACAAAGACTACACATTTTACATACACAATAGAGATGTTGTGCTGTAGACGGAAGAATGATTCACTTTTCAGCAGAACAAATGTATTTTCCATGGTCTTTCTATATGTTGCACTGTTTCTATCTAGTAGGAAATTCGTCTTTGACTCAGACTGTGAGAAATGTCAAATATTGCGCAGGTCTGTTTGCGTCACGCCTTGTTCAGTGTAGCGGCTTTGCGTTATTAGAACGGATTGATGAACAGGAGTGGGACTGCGTCGGCGGTTGAACCTGTGACAGTGTGACACATTATATATTCCCTGCGTGATGCTTTTGCTGAATGATACCCCATAAGGCTTAGCTGGGGGATATCAATATTCAGAGATCGGGGGAAGATCAGGAAACAGATCTTCAGTCTTTACTGTGTTATCAAGCTGAGAGGGAACATTAGTCAGTGTGTTCGGTGCTCAGTATGTACATATATTTACATTCTCTAGCAGCTTCCCATCATTCAACCAACACGTCTCGCTGGTAACATTATTTCCTTTACAGGAGAAAAGCTTTTCTGCTTACACTATATTGCCAAAAGTATTGGGCCCCTCCCCCTCCAAATCATTGGATTCAGGTGTTCCGTGACATTTCCCGGCTACTAAATATTCCGCGGTCACCTGTTAGTGTTATTATAACAAAGTGGAAGCGACTGGGAACAACAGCAACTCAGCCAGGAAGTGGTCGGCCACGTAAATGACAGAGCGGGGTCAGCGCATGCTGAAGCGCACAGTGCGCAGAAGTCGCCAACTGTCTGCAGAGTCAATAGCTACAGACCTCCAAACTTGGCGTGGCCTTCAGATTGGCGCAACAACAGTATGTAGAGAGCTTCATGGAATGGGTTTCCATGGCCGAGCAGCTGCATCCAAGCCTTACATCACCAAGTGCAATGCAAAGCGTGGGATGCCGTGGTGTAAAGCACGCCGCCACTGGACTCTAGAGAAGTGGAGACGTGTTCTCTGGAGTGACCAATCACGCTTCTCTGTCTGGCAATCTGATGGACGTGTCTGGGTTTGGCGGTTGCCAGGAGAACGGCACTTGCCTGACTGCATTGTGCCAAGTGTAATGTTTGGGGGAGGGGGGTTTATGGGGGGGGGATGTTTTTCAGGGGTTGGTCTTGGCCCCTTAGTTCCAGTGAAGGGAACGCTTAAGGCATCAGCACACCAAGTCATTTTGGTCAATTTCATGCTCCCAACTTTGTGGGAGGAGTTTGGGGACGGCCCCTTCCTGTTCCAACATGACTGCGCACCAGTGCACAATGCAAGGTCCATAAAGACATGGATGGGGGAGTTTGGGGTGGAGGAACTTGACTGGCCGCCCAGAGTCCTGACCTCAACCCCATAGAACACCTTTGGGATGAATTAGAGTGGAGACTGTGAGCCCGGCCTTCTCCTCCAACATCAGTACCTGACCTCACAAATGGTCCAACATTCCCATAGACACACTCCTAAACCTTGTGGACGCCTTCCCAGAAGAGTTTAAGCTGTCATAGCGGCAAAGGGCGGAGCCAACCCAATAATGAACCCTACGGACTAAGACTGGGATGCCATTAAAGTTCATGTGGCTATATAGTATATATCCTAACCCAAGAACTAAAATGTAGTATTTTGCAGCCTTTCAGTACTTAGATGTGGTGGCTGCATTAGGTTTTTTTTTCGGGCTAAGAACATTTCCTTCAAGTAAAGAAAGATACCTGTTGATCCTGTCAGAAATCCAATGTCCTTGTAACTTCCTGTGCACTTAAACCAGGTTTCCTTAAAGGAGAACTATAGGGTTAGGGCTTTTCCCCATAGTTCTCCTTAGGGTAACGGGAGGACACAAACTAGCGTCCTCCCGTCACCCTAAGCTCAGTATACCGCGAGCTACAGCTTGCGGTATACTGAGACATCACAGTATACCGCAAGCTACTGCTCGCGGTATATGACGACGACGCAGCTGAAGCGGATGCCGACAATTGTGCCGGGATCCGCCCAGCTGCGTGAGTGACAGCTGGCTCTACCTATCTAGGGGCAGAGCCAGCTGTACCTACCTGCCCCCTCCCCCATCCGATCCGCCAGTCAGCGCTGGCGGATCGGAGGGGGGAATCCAGCCCCTCCCCTGTCACGGCAGAGAGCTGTGACAGGATCGAGAAGTGAGCGAACGCTGGTATGTGTTCGCTCACCTCCCGATCTACTGAGCCGACCTGTGACAGTCTCATTGTCACAGGTCGGCTAGAACTATGAGTATAGCTGCACTGCACAGTACATGAAAGGGATCGGATAGCTGTAGATATAATAAGTAAAAGAATAAGGAATACGATGTACTTCATGCTCTGTAGGAGAATACATTTTGCTGATAAGCATGAACTAAAACAAATACAAATGACCAGAAGTGCAACCTTTACCACCAATGGTCAGTAGAGAAATGTCCAGTACAAGTCATGGTCAGTATAGTCTCACTTTGTTTTGGCGGTCATTGGTAGAAGACCCCCTTCTTATTGGTGGTTATTGGAAGAAGACCCCCTTCTTACTTTGGTGGTCATTGGGAGCAGAATCTCTTCTTATTTTTGTGGTCATTGTGAGAAGAATCTCTTCTTATTTTGGTGTTATTGGGAGAAGAATCTCTTCATATTTTGGTGGTCATTCGGAGAAGAACTCCTTTTTATTTTCTTATTTTTTGGTCAAGGCAGTCAAAGGCCAATGGTATCAAGCAACCACTTAGCCACCACAATGCGTAGTGTTTTTTACATTTAGAGTAACACATTTAAAAAGCCCAAGATGAACCTCAGGTGCGTCTGAACTCGTTTTTTGTTTTCCAGCCCACTAGGAATGCTAGTAGAAACAATCTCTCTTTTTAAAAACGCCTCATTGTACACTTTAAATCCTGGCTCTCGGACAAAGTTTGATATATGTATCAGTTTGCTTTCAAGCTTTTTTTTCAGCATAGTTTTTGCTGTTATTATTTCATAGCTTCTCTTCGAGTGCCTGGAATGCCCGGTATGGACAGTGACGATGAATCCAAGACGCCTTCTGCTTCTCCACGTCACGGCAGGTCCAGACCGTCCTCCGTTGCTGTTGAGTCTTCATCAGAGTCAGAAGATGGGGATTCCAGAGGAGAGGTAAAGAGCAATATGTCTACCTGTATCCATTATAACCCTGTTGTTCCAACTGTGGGTTGGAATAAAACTAACTGACGGCCTGTAGAGGGATGAAGTCCAAAGCAATACATTTTGATGATCTTCAGATGCAGAAATGCCTATAGGTCAAGCTGGTAATTTTTATCTGATGGGCTTTCCAAGAAAGCCACACACAGTTAAAGGGCGTGGATTGAGGGATCTGTACTGCCGACCATTGTATTCAGCAGTTGCGGCACCTGCGACTGCCTGAATACAATGCTGCTGCTGAACAGTGACTGCATTCTATCACATGACATGGTATTCAGGCAGATGCAGGTGCGCAAGTGCTGATAATTTTCCACCTAACAGTAGTTTTTTTATGCAACTTTTGTTGTGCCGCGGGATGTTTGCTGGGGCACCCGCAGCTTGAATTTCCCTTGATTCAGCAGGAATTGGTCAAATTTCAAGGTGTCTATGGCCACCCTTACAGAGGTCACATCATTACCTTCCTCACATATCATGGATGACTGTTGTCCGCATTAGGTCTCACATGTCCCTTTTGCCCAATTTAAAGTTTACAGATCTTTGTGTTACGAAAGTGCACTGGCTCAGAATGATTTTAGAATGGTGTACAAAGAACTTCCAAGCGGTTACTATTAAGAATGTTGTTGCTTTATGCTAGAAAATCTATTTTGCCATGGAGAAAAGAGAAAGACTCCCATCTGCCATACCCAAATGCAGCCAAAATGTTTTATATTGGTTTGGATAGAGCAGTGAGGGGTTAGAGCCATGGTCGGGTCTTAATCTCGATCTCGGTCTATGTATGAGTGACTTCCCTTCCTGTGAGGACTGGAAATTTGCATCGTTATCAGACTGACGAAGGGTTACCATATCTACCAGTGTTTTTGCCTATTTCAAAGATAACTTATCCCCCCCTTGCCACTTATTGTACAGGTTTCAAAGGGACGGGAAGTGTGGGAAAATCTCCCCCATTGGGGTCACTGACAGAAATAGAAACCTGACATAAATTTTTGCCACACTATCCAAAACTGAAAAATATCTGGTTGGAGCTAGGCTTTTAACTGTTTATTCGGCTGGTAACTGCTCCATTGCCTCACTGCAAATTTACTTATAGAAGTCCAGCCATGGCCGGATTTCCCACAAGGCCAACCAAGGCCCGGCCACGGGGCAGCAAGCAGTAGAGGGGCAGCAGGGTGTAGAATTTTCTATCTCCTGATAACCAGGACAGGCAGTTCCGGGCGCCGGACGGGTAGTTGTTTTCTACATTTAGCCCTGCTTTGGGCAAGCAGGGCTAAATGTACAGTGGGGAAGCCGCTGCTTGTTTGTACAAGTGATACCGGCGATGTCGCCGAGATCACTTGGATGCAGCCTGCAGGTCTGCCATTCTCCAGCGGAGGGGGGGTTGGCGGGTAGGGGAGCACATTGAGAAACCTGGCGTTGGGGTAGCAGAAAGAGTAAATCCGGCCACGAGTCCAGCCTGTTCAGAACAGTTCGGAAAAATGTGGCAACTATAGCTATTGTTTTAGATTTCCAATGCATGATACATAGGGGGGAATGTATTAAAACTGGAGCAGAGAAAACATGGAGCAGCTGTGCATGGCAGCCAATCAGCCTCTCTCTTCATTTTGTTCAGTTAAGATTTGAAAATGAAACAGAGATGCTGATTGGTTGCCATGCACAGCTCCTCCATATTTTCTCTGCTCCAGTTTTGATAAATCCCCCTCACAGTGTTTTCAATTATTGAAAAAATTTGAAGGAACTTCTACATATCCTCTTCTACTTGAAAGGTGTAAAATCCTGTCTAGGTACCTTTAAGGCCATGTGGGAGAAGATTGGGAAACTTGCTAACAAGATTGCCTTGGCAGCTTGCTTTTTAGATATTTGCCCAGCTTTAAGTGTGTAGATTTGTTTTTGGCAACATTGTTCTTTGTGATTTCAGATATTCGACATTTACATGGTCACAGCTGACTACAACCCAATAACAGTCGAGAAGGAAACCATAACTCTGAAAGAGGGTCAGTATGTGGAAGTCCTCGACTCTGCCCATCCCCTGAAGTGGCTTGTCAGGACAAAACCAACCAAGATAAGCGCCTCCCGACAGGGATGGGTGTCACCTGCTTACTTAGATAAGCGTTTGAAGGTAAACATTAGGGTAAAGGGAAAACTATACTATAGATATAACATGTAAAATTATTATAAAAGCCATTTTGTAGTTTTAGAGGGTTATCCACAAAGCCAGCTGAAGGATCAGCCATAGCTCTAGCTGATCCTTCGGCTAGCGTCGGCCGCCGGAGCACTTCGGTTCAGTAGAACCGAAGGGCTGCTGTACAGGCTATTCACTATAGCTCGTACAGCTCCCGAAGCTGGCCAAGCAGCTCAGCCCAGCTGAAGCATATGCTTCGACTGAGCCGAAGTGAAACCCAAAGCGGGCTAAACGGCCGGCCGAAAGCCTCGCAACTGACAGCTGGGCAGAGCCAGCCATGATCTCACGGCTGGCTCCGCCCAGTTGCAATGACAGATCAGCGTCCCCAGGTTACCTGGGGACGCTGAACTGTCATTAAACAATGACAACTTGGCTGAGCACGGCCGGCTACGCCCAGTTGTTATTCATTGGCCGGAACCTCTTAGAAGACTCTAGCAGGTCCCGGCCAATAGGAAACAGTTGGTCGGAGCTAGCTGTCACTGCTATCACCACCCAATTGTTTTTTTTGTTTTTTTAAATTTCAATAATCTTTATTTTTTAACATTTATCAATTATTTACTTTTGTAAACATTTTTTTCCTGTTTTGCTATTCTGCTTGATACCACGGAGGTACCGAGCAGAATAGCCGAGCCGAATGCTGCTCTGTGACATTTGGCTATTCACTCACTGCCGTTCGGCCCCTATGAGAATAGGCCGAACTGCAGCGAATAGCCTGCCGGAGGTTCGGCTCAGCCAATCCAGTTGTAGGAGCTGCTGAGTTGAACTCCTCCTGTACTTCGGCTCAGCCGAACATGCTGAGCATGTTCAGCCGAACCGAAGCCAGCCGAAGCCAGCCGAAGCAAGCCGATGTACGGTTGAAATCAGCCGTACAAGCCAGAAGTGAATAGCCGAAAAAGCGTTCGGCTCACTTCACTTTGGGTCGGTTGTTCACACGGCTGCCTTCGGCAGCTTTGTGAATAACCCTCTTAGTGTTATTCATAATCTGCACCTAGTTGGAGTTTTTTTTAAAACTATTGAAAAATTCACCGTCTTGCTTCTTGTAACCAAAGGCCTTACAGTGAGAACATATGAAGAATGCTGGAGTTAAACTTTCAGAATTTGCTTAAAAAAACAATTTTAACAGGGAAATGTAATTGTGTTGTTTTTGTTTATTTGTTTGTTTCAAGCTTTCACCCGAATGGGGAGCAGGAGATGTCGTAGAATTTTCAGGAGAATCTATTTCCGAAGAAGATTATAAAAAGAAATTCAGGTATTTCATTGATGGACTATTGGCAGACCCCATTGCAGCTCCACCTAAGTATTAGAATGTTGCTGGGTGAAATGAAATGTCTCCTACCACTTCCCCACTGACCCCCCCCTGAATGCACTCCCACGACCTGGTTATGGGAATCCACACGATACCCACATTTATCCACCATTGTAACCCCATTGGGCTAGACAGAGAACTTCACACCATTAGTGTACCTACTCTACCAACTGGATGTTCTCCATATGTACATTGATATGTGAACCCTTGTTGACACTGCATGGATAATCTTGTTATGCCCTTGTGGACCCTAACATGTTTTATAACTATGCATGCTTTTGTCATTGTGTTTGTGTACTATGCAAAACACCTTAAATAAAGAATTTATTTAAAAAAAAAAGATCCTCAAGACCGGACTCCTTCTGGTCAGGAGTGGTGATGGGCTCGGGCGTGTTCGCGGCTCCGCGTGCTAGGCCCGCCAGGGGGCTGATAGTGCCGCGGCGCCGGTCGGGGGCGCTGAGACATTACCCGATCTCTGCAGCTGCGGACCGGGGTAGTGTCTCGGTGCCTGTGATTGGCGCTGCGGCGCTGTTGGCTTCCTGGCGGCTCGGCGCGTGGAGTTGCGGGCACGCCGAGCCCATCACTAGTCAGGAGTGCAGTGGGATATACCTTGGACTGGCTGTCCTCAAGTCACTTTTTTTTTAACCATTTATTGAAATTAATAGGGCTTCCTTGGGACTGTGTTAAGCACTTATAAATGTATATTTTTCTTTAAAGCACCAATATGGCTGCATAAGACCATACTGATAATGTATAAAGGGCGCCAAAGGGTAAAAACTGAAAAGTTACCTAGATTCTAACAGTTTTTGGTTAAAAAAAAAAAATGTCTCCTCTTTTTCTTCCCAGCATTCTTATTCAAGATCTATTAGTCTCAGAGAAGGAATATGTCCAGGATCTCCAGTTCCTGTCAACCCATCACATAAATTACACAGAGACCTGTGTTGAAATTCCTGAGGCAGTGGCCAATCAGAAGACCATTATTTTCAGAAACATTGGTGACATTGGTGACTTCCATGCCAGGTCTGTATAAGATATTTGATTAACATTTATTAAAGCCTAGATATGAAATATCATAGCCAAGGGCAATGTGTAAATTCTGTGTTATAATGAAGTAACTTTATTCCTCCACAGAACTTTCTTACAAGACCTTAAAAATTGTGATACAGATGATGACATTGCCATGTGCTTCATCAGAAGTGAAGAAGAGTTTAATAAGTACATTATGTACCTGGTGGGTCGTGTGCAGGCTGAGTCTGTCGTGGTCAATGATGCCATTCAGGAGTTCTATAAAGTATGTATTGGTGCTTTCATTCTTTCCTACCTTTTCCTATTCTATCATCTATCAATAATCTATCTTCTTCCAAACTTGACTTCAGCTTTAAAGATTAGGTGACAGATCTACTGACTTTTCCAGGGCAATGAAAGCTTAACGTTGAACTCCGGGTACAAAATTGTTTATTTAAATATATTCCTCAATAGATACAAAGGATATACATTGATCAGCCATAACACTATGACCACTGAGAGGTGAAGTGTATGCATTGATTATCTGGTTACCATGGCACCTGGAAGTGGGGGGGATGTATTACAATGGCATCTGGAAGTGGTGGGGGATATATTACAATGACACCTGGAAGTGGGGGGCATATATTACAATGACACCTGGAAGTGGGGGGGGGGTATTACAATGGCACCTGGAAGGGGGGGGGATATATTAGGCAGCAAGTAAACATTTTGGCACTGAAGTTGATGTGTTGGAAGCAGAAAAACTACTTTGACAAGGGCCAAATTATGATGGCTAGGCAACTGGGTCAGAGCAACTCCAAAACTGCAGCTCTTGTGGGATGTTCCCGGTCTGCAGTGGTCATGACCGACCAAAAGTGGGCAAAAGAAGGAAAACCAGTGAACCAGCAACAGAGTCATTGGCGGCCAAGGTTCCCTGATGCATGTGGAGAGTGAAGGCTGGCCTGTTTAGTCTGAACCAATAGAAAAATTACTGTAGTTCAAATAAAATTTAAAGCTGGTTCAAATAGAAAGGTTTCTGAACACACAGCGCATAACAGTTTCTTGCATACGGGCCTGCACAGCCTAGAATGGACTTGTGAGCATCAGAACTGGACCATGGAACAATTGAAGAAAGTGGTCTGGCCTGAGGAATCACGTTTTCTTTTACATCATATGAATGGCCATGTCTGTGTCTGTCATGTATCGGGGGAAGACATGCCACCAGGATGCACTATGGGAAGAATACAAGCCGGCGGAGGCAGTGTGATGCTTTGGGCAATGTTCTGCTGGGAAACCTCGGGTCCTGCCATTCATGTGAATGTTACACTGACACGAACAACCAACCTAAACATTGTTACTGACCAAGTACACCCCTTCATGAAAACGGTATTCCCTGATGGCAGTGGCCTCATTCATTGGGATAATGTGTCCTGTAATGCTGCAAAAATGGTTCAAGAATGGTTTGAGGAACAGAACAAGTTTGAGATGTTGACTTGGCCTCCAAATTCTCCAGATCTCAATCCAATCGATCATCTGTGGAATGTGTTGGAAAAGCAAGTACAATCCATGGAGGCCGATCACCTCGCAACTTACAGGACTTAAAGGATCTGCTACTGAGGACTTGGTGCCAGATTCCACAGCACACCTTCAAGGTCTAGTGGGGTCCATGCCTCAATGGGTCAGGAAAAGGGGGATCTACTCAATATAAGGCAGGTGATCTGGCTGAGTGTTGTAAATCAAATTTGTGTGCACCAAATGTCCGTTCATACCCAGGTATTAGCTTGTAAGAGCTGCAGGGACCTCATCACTGTGCTGTACGTAGCCTATGCAGTGAGCAGAGCTGTAGGAGGGGCCCACGGGGCTCCATCCACTACAGGCTGCCTGCAGAAATATACAGGGGGATCGGGGTGGAGACAAGAAGACCAGTCACTCTACACGAGGAGACAGCAGCAGTAAGCGGTCTTTATTACAGGAAGCTCTAAGCCTCACACTGTATTACTGCACAGATCTGGAGGAAATACACAAAGCTCACCAAGATTCAAGGAACACACATGACTCTTTCTTGTATGTGGACAATATTTACTATGTGACGCATGATATGTATTAGAATAGGGCCAACTTTAATCAAGAACTTCTAAAAATAAAATAACAAGAGGAAAATAAAGAGACCAATAAAAGATAAAATGATGAAACCAGCTTCTGCTGTAACACTCGCCTTCACTTCAGAGATTTCACCCGTCGGTGCTTTGCCATAGTGCGTTGGGGGGCATTCAATATGAATGGCGCCTCAGAGCAGTAACGCTTTTGTTTGCCAGAGTTATGTATTTTCCTGCCATCATTCACCTGCTTATTAATCACAAGTCATAAATGATACATCCTATCTACCGGCGGCCTTCCTTCACAGTAAATGAAGTCTCTGCATATAGCCTGGCCATCCGGCAAAGCCAATTAATAATATAACCGGAATTTAAATGCCTGGAATCCATCAGGTGCGTTATTAAGTCTCTCCAGTATTAATCAAGGAGGATTCTCACCGAGGTTCTCACTAAGTGCGTGGAGTATGAATTTAATTAAACTCTTCGGGAGACAAGCTTAGCCTATTATGTATGCTGTTGGGAACGTCGAACAAATGAGCACCGTATCTCTCAGCCCTAGAGATTAAAGCCCAGCTGGACTTTTTGTTTAAGTCAGATAAATATATGTCACGTCTTACAAGTGATTTTCTTTAGAAAGTAGCCACAGCCTGAGTAGAAAAACCTGACCCTTGCCACCATGCAGCAGAGAGGCCCTTGCTTCCTGTGTGGAAGGAGTGGTCTCTCTGCAGAGGTCCAACACGCCCCCTGCTGAGTCAGGGCTGGTACTCTCCAATCAGAAGCCAGAGCCTGAGTAGAAAAGCCTGTCCCCTACCACCATTTAGCAGAAAGATCCTTGCTTGCTGTGTGGAAGGAGTGGTCTCTCTGCAGAGGTCCAACACGCCCCCTGCTGAGTCAGGGCTGGTACTCTCCAATCAGAAGCCAGAGCCTGAGTAGAAAAGCCTGTCTCCTTCCACCATTTAGCAGAAAGACCCTTGCTGCCGGTGTGGAAGGAGTGGTTTCTCCTCAGAGGTAAAACACTCCCCTTGCTGAGTCAGGGCCAGTGCTCTCCAATCAGCAGCCACAGCCTGTGTAGAAGAGCCTGTCCCCTGCCACCATGCAGCAGAAATACCCTTGCTTCCTGTGTGGAAGCAGTGGTCTTTCTGCAGAGGTCCGACATGCTGAGTCAGGTTTGGTGCTCTCCAATCAGCAGCCACAGCCTGTGTAGAAGAGCCTGTCCCCTGCCACCATGCAGCAGAAATACCCTTGCTTCCTGTGTGGAAGCAGTGGTCTTTCTGCAGAGGTCCGACATGCTGAGTCAGGTTTGGTGCTCTCCAATCAGCAGCCACAGCCTGTGTAGAGGAGCCTGTCCCCTGCCACCATGCAGCAGAAATACCCTTGCTTTCTGTGTGGAAGGAGTGGTCTCTCTGCAGAGGTCCGACGTGCCCCCTGCTGAGTCAGGACTGGTGCTCTCAAATCAGCAGCCACAGACTGTGTAGAAGAACTTGTCTCCTGCCACCATGCTGCAGAGAAGGACCCTTGCTGTCTTTGTGGAAGCAGTGGTCTTTCTGGAGCTTTTTGATATCTGCCTGGAGCTCAGCTTTGAGAAATGTAATGCATGCTTGCCGCCTTCCCACTGACACATGCTATCTATTTCAGAAATATACAGAGGACACTTTGACACTTGCCGACCCCTCCAAGCCTCCAGTGCCACCACTGCAACACTATCTGGAACGTCCAATCAGCAGAATACACAGATATCAAATCATCCTGAAGGTGAGGAAGTCTAAAGCATGCATGATGGCGTTCCATATGTATGTAGAGAGAGCTTTCTTCGCTCTACTCCTGCATGAGCTGTGCTGCCACTCAGTTGTATTGGAGTAGGTGACACCAACACTGAGGCATAGTCTGGTTTTGCATGGCATCATCCATTGGAATCACTACAAGCACCACCATGAACTGTATTTGGTCCAGCGTCATTATCAATGAGCAGTTCTACATAGGATTTCCCCCTCCAACCTTGCCGTCCAAGGCGTTGGCCCATCTGTGTCTTATGGTAATGATGTCAATGTAATACGTTCTTTATGAATTATTTTATCCAGGATATGATCCGGAACAAGGCAAGGAACGGGAAGAACTGCGCGCTGCTGGAGCAGGCTTACGCCATAGTGTCCGCACTTACACGCCGGGCGGAGAACTTCCTGCATGTGTCACTGATTGAGAACTACCCGGGTACCCTGGAGGCCCTAGGAGAACCTATCCGCCAGGTCAGTGCCATTCTGCCGTACAAGGGGGTGCTGAATCTACGCATATCAGAAAGGCCTTTCAGAGTTTTTGAGATTAATATGGAAGTTGGAACAACCCTTTAATCTGATCTGCTATTATGCCTAAAGCCTGTCTTTATATTATCTTCCCACAATGCCCTGCACAACAGAAATCAGACTGAGAGTGGGAGGTTCTGCCCCGTGAGCCTATTCGGCTATATTTCATTTCATAGTGTTGCCATCTAACATGGTCATTGGCTTCTGTCTATAAACTAGTATGATAGTCTACTGAGCACACCCAAGATGGCTGCCTCACCTTCAATCTGCCCCCAACACTAATTTAATAAGTGTTTTAAGTTGGGAAAAAAAGTGCTATAGAAATATGAATTAATAAAAAAATTATAATAATTGCCTATTAAATACAGTATATAGACCCTGCCTCCTGCTTTGCAGTGTGCCACAGTGGTTGAGCGTTACAGTTACTTATCTGGGACAGAAGTCCTCACCTGATATCTTAAAGGAGAACTATGAGGTGGGGTACTTTTCACTCATCCTCATAGTTCCAGCCGACCTGTGACAATGAGACTGTCACAGGTCGGCTCAGTAGATCGGGAGGTGATTACGACTGGGCGGAGCCAGTCGTGAGATTTATCCGCAAGTAACACCAGCACCCACCTTCATATTGGGATTCTGGTCTGGAGTGCGGTTGATTTTGGACCACTATTGTAGTTTCTTTTGGGGGCACATGTGACAAGGTGACAATGATGGAGCACAATTGACACCCTATAACACAATGTGCTTCAACAAGGAACTTCGTGGCACAACCAGCAGGTATTATTTTCACCAAGTTAACACATATACAGGATTTTAGTGATTGGGATTATACGAGTGTGGACTAAACTTTGCTAATAAAACCCATCCAAATATTGCCTCTGCGTAGGGTCACTTCATCGTCTGGGAAGGCGCCCCAGGAGCCCGAATGGCTTGGAAAGGACACAATCGTCATGTCTTCCTCTTCAAGAATTATCTCATCATCTGTAAACCAAAAAGAGACACCGGGACCGACACGTACAGCTATGTCTTCAAGAACATGATGAAGGTCGGTAGATGTCTTGGATCTGCATGTTATTTTTGTATACTGTACAATACCACGATACCCCTCTGATATTTGACCCTCTGTTACTCTTTTCTCCTCAGTTGACGAACATTGATGTTAACGATCAGGTTGAAGGCGACGATAGGGCCTTTGAGATATGGCATGAGCGAGAGGACTCGGTCCGCAAGTACCTCTTACAAGCCCGTACGGTCATCATCAAGAACTCATGGGTGAAGGAGATTACCGTCATACAGCAGAGATTCAGCCTGCCCCTGTGGAGTAAGTAGTGCTGTATTTTCATTCCATGGGATAGAGGGAGACATCTTTCCTCTAGCTTTCCTGTAGTGTATGTATGTCTTAAATTGTTTATTCTTAGAGTAGGCAAGGATGGGCCAAGGGGTAAGCAGAAGAGGTGGCCACTTTGGTTGCTTTAGTAGAAGGGGGTGCAAAAAGGACAGGACATGCCACCAATGCTCGTAGGGCGCACACTGGGCTTTTTGCCTTAGGTGCCAACGGACCTTATCCTGACAATGAGAGAACTGAAGGCTTAAAACCCCTATTATGTTATTTTCTGCTCTCTGCATCCTGCTAGGGAGAGTTCCCTCCATCGCCACTCTTGGAGTTGCAACAGGAGGAGAGAGTAGATCTCCCCAAAGTGGGCAGAATTCCGATCTTAGACTGTTGTCACCGGAGCAGCGTCCCCATTGGAAGATTTCCCCTCTCATGACAACTCTACAATTTAGGATTTCCAATCACTTCCCGTCTCTCCCTCTTCTAGGGGCTTACAACAATACAAAACGCAAAAGTTTCCCAGCACACTTATCGGCCAGCCTGCAACAAAACAAAGTGCCCTGTCTAGCAATATGTGTTAAAAACAGAAGTTTTAGTTGCGCAACTTTTTGCAAAAAATATGTGGAAGCCGAATATGTGTCGAAGTCTCATCAAGGCCCCTCTGCGTAGTGTGGTCCTAACTCTAATTTATGTGAGTCTCCATATTGGAGCATATTTAAGCAGTAGATAAATCAAAGGATGGTACTGAATGCTTGGAGGGAGCCCACTCCTCCTTAAAGGAACAGAGACGCTCTGGAGGCCCAGCAATCCAACATGTACGCTGAGGCCCCCAGTGCATCCCCACGCCAAATACAGCCCAGCTAAAGATACAAGGCAACCGCAATTTTTAGTTTATTCTTAGATAGTTACATAGTATTTGGGGTTGAATAAAGACATACATCCATCAAGTCCAACCCATATAAGTCCACGCATCATTAATGTTTCTTGATGTTTGTCTTACAGATCCTCCACACTTCATCGAAGTTCTGGCAGATTGTACAGCAGAGCTGGGAGAAACTGTTAAACTGGCCTGCCGAGTCACCGGAACCCCGAAGCCTACTGTCACCTGGTACAAAGGTAATTTGTTCAACTTTTTGACTTTCTGAATACCTACAGTATACCAGATATACCGGACATTTTAACAGGAAGTGATTTTAAAGAGTCGAGGAGTTGAACTCCTTTGTCAATACATCCACAATGGACACTAGTTGGCCATTCCTTTTCCTCCATAGAAAAGGTCTGGTATAGTGCTATCTGTAGGTTCTGGCAGTGCAGTGACAAGGATTTCGGGGTTTCCTATTAAATGTCATTCTGGGTAAGGGAACTGATGGTACGTCAAGTCTTGGATAAGTGGGAAGACTAAACTGAGGACTAATAGACTTTATCAGGAAAGTAGTGATTATTGGCAACCTTTTCTAACCTGTCACAGGGTGTTCCCTTCTCCAGTAGTATGAAATACCCTAAAGTAATATTTAACAGGGAGGGTGGGCTCCTCCTAATGGTTTCGGTCATGAGTGTACAGACCCACGAGCTTCACTACTGTAGTTCCTGAGTAACATACCAAAACTCTTTGGTGGGCCTAAAGGGGTGAATACCTTCCTGAAAACAACAGGCAGGGAGAAAGTAGCCTGTGAATAGGTCAGCTATGCGCCAGAACAACCATCAATGCCCAATAATGACAAAGGGCAATAGGTTTTACTTTTCTCTGTGCTTTTGCCTGTGTGCCACAAGTGATGCTTAAAATTATTTGCTGTTAGGAGGCAGTTGTTTTGCCACCCTTAGTAGGCTTAAAGTACATATAAAGCCATAAGGAACATTTTTCATTTTTGGCTAGTGTAGGGTAAGACCCCTGTCAGGTAATTGTTTTCTGTCCATGTCCCGTTAGGGAGATTTCCCCTCATTTCCTGTACAGCAGAAAGTGAACTGAAATCCATATAAGGTGAGGAAAATCTCATCCTAGACAGTTGTCACTGGAACAGTTGCCCCAATTGGAAGAGTTTCCCTCAACCCCCGTACCAGCTGTAAAATTTTGGCTTCCCTTTAACCTTCTGTCCATTGACGATAGTCACCAGTAAAAATAGAGAGGGTTAATCTTCCCAATGGGTAAACAGACAGCAATATAAACCTGACACAGGATTTAGCCCTTTATTGCTCCATCGAAAACTAGCAAAAGGTTCTGGATTTAGATGCGCTTTAACTTTCTAGTGTTCAACAAAATGTGTCCTTTTTACAGTGGCGTAGTGATTAGCACTTCTGCCTTGCAGCACGGGGGGGGGGGGGGGTTCTACC